CTTCTGACAGCTGGGCGGAGCCAGCCGTGATCTTAGTTCCGCCGGACAATAGAAAACTGTTGGGCGGAGCTAGCTGTCACTGCTAGCTCCGCACAATCGTTTTCTATTTTCTTTTTTAACTATTTTTCTGTTCTGCTCGGTCCCTCTGATGGACCAAGCAGAACAGCCGAGTGGAATGCCGCTCAGCGGCATTCGGCTATTCACTCACTGCTGTTCGGCATCTATAAGAATAGGTCGAACAGCAGTGAGTAGACTGCTGGAGGTAATGCAAAGCAAGCCGATGTACGGCTGAAATCAGCCGTACCAGCCTGAAGTGAATAGCCGAACAGTGTTCGGCTCACTTCACTTCAGGTCGGTCATTCACTCGGCTGCCTACTGTGTAATGTGAGGAAATATAAAATATTCACTCCATATTTATTTACTTTATATGTCATGTAAAATCAATTAAAATGATCATTTTTGTTTGACAAATGTTTCATAAAGCTAAAGCGTGCAGCGAATAAAATTCAATACAGAGACATCCGACTTTTTTATGCTTTAGTCCAACTGCGGCTGTCCTTTATCGACGATCTGTGACCTTAAAATAACCCAACAGCTTCATCGTCCAACATTCTAATCTGTGTATGCCATGAAATCAGTACATGACAAGATTCTATGTATGTGTATGCCATGAGGAACCTTCCCAACATGACAATGGTTGGTAAGAGATGAACAGCTTAAGGTGTCCCTAAAACAGAATGAAAAAATAACTCTGTAGACTGTAAACTTTTCAAATGTAATTGTTTCCTAATCAGGACTAATGCGGATCACTATGCCTGGGAAGGAAATCTTACCTGTTTTAATGGTTTTTATGGTCAGTCTATTGAGATACGCAAAAAAAAAAAAGATTCCCTGCATTTGCTGATGGCTCACACAGTACAACTTTCTGGTGATACAACTTGATCTTATCCTCTATTTCTATCTGTAGCTTGTATAGCTCTTATGATTATTCCATGCTGACCACCTAGCCAAACAAAATATTGTATAGGACTGCTGTGCTAATAAGAGAACAATCCTAATCCAAATTAAAGAGTATCTGAGGTGACAGTGCTGTGCTTTGTCACGGTGTGATAAGGGTTAGAGGTCACTCAGGGTTTTTCACCCATACAGGTTGAGGGGCTCCAGGGTGCATGTTTCATATGGAGGAAACTGACTTTTCAGTTTTCTCCAGGATTAATAAACACTCGTCAGTGTCCTGGAACTTGGAGGCTTTGTAGAGACTTGGGTGGGATGAAGCCTCCCACCCTGAGTCCATGTTTTGGTGTTGACCATCTCCCATTGATTGTGCTGCTGTGCACAGCTCTTATAGTAAGGGAGCTGGCTAGGGCTCAGGGCTCCACCTGGGAGACAGAGGAGGTTTCAACCCACGGGACGAGGAGGGCTCCACCTAAGAGTTAGTGCAGCTGGTGGCAGCCAGAGATGGTGCATGTGTGCACTGAGTCATTTGAGTTTAAATAATGTTGTAATGTGTTTAGGGACCATGGGGAACACAAGTAGCCCCCCTCCAGAAGGAAGGACAGTGTCAGCACCAATTCAGAGATGATTGGAGGATCTACAGCCGAGTGATACACAAATAAGATACATTGTTGTTCATAGTTAAGGTTCTTGAATGCATTTTTAAAATGTAATGCTTGTGTTTAGTGTCACTTTAAGTTTATGCAAATCTAGAAAATCTATGTATTTAATTTTTCATCTTTACTGCATTTTACCTGATATCTCGGACAGACTTTTAACTGGTCCCAGACTTATGCTGTAGTCCTGACCGGCAGATTTTACACCGGCACGTCTTCTAGCATCAGAACATGACTGTAACACACAAAATATTTATATCAATGGAGTTCAGCAAATAAGAATTACCATATATATAAAACATATGAGTTGTATAATAAACAGATCAACAAGTGCTTCATGGTGTCCGTCAATGGACATGTGCACAGTCTTCCTCTTTGTGAATGATCCTCACTGGATATTATTGCTCCTCCATTGGGGTACTTTTACCAGAGTATTTCTTGGTTTTGATATATATATATATATAGATATATAGGACCCAGATAGCAAGCAATTGAGCTGCAAGTTGGAAAATGACTTGCTAAACTATTGCTAGACTTCAGTGTCCTGGAACTTGGAGGCTTTGTAGAGACTTGGGTGGGATGAAGCCTCCCACCCTGAGTCCATGTTTTGGTGTTGACCATCTCCCATTGATTGTGCTGCTGTGCACAGCTCTTATAGTAAGGGAGCTGGCTAGGGCTCAGGGCTCCACCTGGGAGACAGAGGAGGTTTCAACCCACGGGACGAGGAGGGCTCCACCTAAGAGTTAGTGCAGCTGGTGGCAGCCAGAGATGGTGCATGTGTGCACTGAGTCATTTGAGTTTAAATAATGTTGTAATGTGTTTAGGGACCATGGGGAACACAAGTAGCCCCCCTCCAGAAGGAAGGACAGTGTCAGCACCAATTCAGAGATGATTGGAGGATCTACAGCCGAGTGATACACAAATAAGATACATTGTTGTTCATAGTTAAGGTTCTTGAATGCATTTTTAAAATGTAATGCTTGTGTTTAGTGTCACTTTAAGTTTATGCAAATCTAGAAAATCTATGTATTTAATTTTTCATCTTTACTGCATTTTACCTGATATCTCGGACAGACTTTTAACTGGTCCCAGACTTATGCTGTAGTCCTGACCGGCAGATTTTACACCGGCACGTCTTCTAGCATCAGAACATGACTGTAACACACAAAATATTTATATCAATGGAGTTCAGCAAATAAGAATTACCATATATATAAAACATATGAGTTGTATAATAAACAGATCAACAAGTGCTTCATGGTGTCCGTCAATGGACATGTGCACAGTCTTCCTCTTTGTGAATGATCCTCACTGGATATTATTGCTCCTCCATTGGGGTACTTTTACCAGAGTATTTCTTGGTTTTGATATATATATATATATAGATATATAGGACCCAGATAGCAAGCAATTGAGCTGCAAGTTGGAAAATGACTTGCTAAACTATTGCTAGACTTGCCAAGCTTCACAATTTCGTTGCACAATTACAGCAAGTCACCAGATCAACGTGCTTTGCAAATGTGCTGGACACTTGCAGAGCTCTTGCTAAGACCTGCAGGACTCTTGCTGTAGACTTGCCAAGCAAATTTGCAACAAATTCAATAAGTGTCACCTAGAAGTTGTGCTGCGAGTGTTCTGCGAGTCTACAATCCGCCGGGGAATGTGTGCAGCAAGTTAACAAGAATTACAATTTAAGCCTGTGTGATGTTCAGGGATATTAGCACATAGGGTGAGCACTTAAGAATGCAGTCTACTCGCAATAGCTTCTGTTTAAGGGCTTGGTAGCCCACTTTTAATCAACACAAAGTTCATATATCCATCTTGGATACCCACGCAGGGGTTGTTCAGCGTAACATTCATGAAAGGCTTTAAAGCAACACAAGAATAGCCTCCTGGCTTCCACTTTAAACATTGGCACTTCTGACCCACTGGTCCTCTTTGAAGTGCTGTCCCACACTTGTACTGGTTGCTCCTCAGGCTCACGGCTCTCTTAGCCTCACCAGTTCTCTCCCAGCCACCCTGGCTGTCTTAGTGTGCTTCCAGCACACTCACCACCTGACTCCTCTCTGACTTCTGGGGGTGTTCTCCTGACACCTGAACACAGTCTGTTCCTCTTTCCCAGCAGGAGCTAATTCCCCTAGCCAGCATCCTTTTCTTAATGGCTGTGCACACCTGTGAAATTATCGAGTGCTGGCCACTGCTAAAGCCTGGACCCAGGACTAGGGATCTCATCTTTCCTCCAGAATCACCTTGAAACCTCTCAGTTCCAGGATCCCAAGCAGAATCCAGACAATCCCTTGCTTCCTGACACGTCTCAGCCCATCTGGCTGAGAGTCACAGATGGGATTGTCACACAATAGCACACCTGATACACGTTTGTGGCAAGTTATCCTTGCTATCTGGGGAGCATTTTTTTCCACTAATCTGCTTGAGACAGCAATTTGCCCATGTGCTCTAAAATATAGATTCCCTTATCCACCTGCTACGGTGATCAGGGCAATCAGGGGTGCCATACCTTTCCAAGAGCAATTTGGTAACCAATCGCTGGCCAGAATGAGCGAAGCGCACTTTCACTATCAATTCCTCATAGGCGGGGTGCATTTGGTATCACTCCGCCTGTGACAGGAGCCGGCGCTATAGAGGAGGCATCGGCTTATGCAGCTCTGCTCCCTCCATTGCTGCCTCGCTTCCTCTAGCGCTGGCTTCGTTGGCACCGCTGATTCTCTCCTGCGGCTCTTCAAGTTCCCCCTTATGACACCGCCGGCCCTGGGAATGGTCACAACGAGGTCTTATTTTCGGGGTAGGTCTTATTTTTGGGGAAACGGTACAAGGAACCTTGGGGAGAAGAATTTTGAGGAGAAGTACCTTGGGGAGAAGTACCTTGGGGATATGAACCTTGAGTAGAAGAACCTTGGGCATAAGAAGCTCGGAGAGAAGAACCTTGAGGAGGAGGACCTTGAGGAGAAGGACCTTGAGGATAGGAACCTTGGGGAGAAGAACCTTGGAGAAAAGAAGCTTGAGAAGAAGGACCTTGAGGAGAAGGACCTTGAGCATAGGGACCTTGAGGAGAAGGACCTTGAGGAGAAGAACCTTGGGGAGAAGAAGCTTGAGGATAGGAAACTTGGGGAGAAGAACCTGGGGAGATTAAGCTTGAGGATAGGAACCTTGGGGGAGAAGAATTTTGAGGAGAAGTACCTTGGGGGGAAGAACAGTCTGAGATGAAATTATTACCATGTCTCATTGTAAAAACAGCCCTGTATCTATATAGATATGTTAAAGCCTAACTGAACCCAAGAAGAAAATTCTTCACATAGTTTCCTTATACAGATTAGGGATGTGAGCAGAGTCTTACCGTTCATATAGCTGGTACAGCAGCCTACATTCCTACATTCATTCCTACATGACACCAGAGGACATATTTGTTACTATGGAAATGGTCTGTTGAACAGTAAGACTCTGCTCACTTATTCTATTGTTTATTTGAGCTTTAACGCTGGTGCATGGACCTTTCCTCTAGGATCCTTGGAAGAATTTTTTTTATCCAATTTCCAATATTAATTATTTTTTTGTACTCACTGGAGTGCAGATGTTTGTCGTGGGATCACACAGATTTATCTCACAGTGTAGGTAGATTTGGCTGTAACGGGTGATAAACCTAAACAGCTGCAAGGAAAAGCGACCTTCATTTGAAACCCCATTGATGGGAACACTGATGGTTGAGTCCTGCTTGATAGGACAGCTGTCAAACAAAAGTAGAAAATCCATTACAATGCTTTGATGCAATAACATGTCATTGGAGGTATTTTGATGCATTGAAAGAGACCCTGTCGTTTAATCAAACACTTTAAGGATAGCACATTCTTGTAGAGAAGAGGTTGGATGATTACCTCTCCTTCCACTCCGTTCTACTATATTGTAGAAGAGAAATGATCCCACAAAGTCTCCACAGTGTCCTACAATGACATGAAGTCAGAGGGAGGAACTAGTGAAAGCAAAGGAAGAGGTGGGTGGGGGGTCCACAAAGATTAAATTCCTAGAAGTTTCCCAGTGGACCAGTTCTCACCATTCACCATTGAGTGGTGCAGCATCTGGAGAGCTAAGTATTCAGCCTCTTCATTACAGGTAGCTGCTTTCCTGAAAACATTTGATCACATGACAACTAAAAAGACCAATGCGCCAAGACCTATCAGAAATATTTGTGCCCTACACAGATCGTTTCTAAACGGTCGTGTCTGGCTGTAATGGGTAACTGCACCTGGTTGTCCTTTACAAATATCAAATGAGCCATTTGTCTATTATAATTGGAATAGAGGGTGTTTGAGGCACTAGATGGAGCCAAAGCAGCACAGGAATCTCCTATGCTCCCGGCTCCATCTAGTGGCAGGAATAGGAAGCTATGGATTAGCACGCTATCCTGTGAAATATGGTCATTCCATTATGTTTTTATGTGAACAGAAATTAAAAGCTGTAGATTTTTTCATGAAAAATATATTGTTTGTTGGTCTATGTAGAGTACGGTTACCTTTATGCGAGTACTGTGGTCTATGCGAGTACTGTGGTCTATGCGAGTACTGTGGTCTATGCGAGTACTATGGTCTATGTGAGTACTGTTACCTTTATGTGAGTACTATGGTCTATGTCTATGTAGAGTACTGTTACCTTTATGTGAGTACTATGGTCTATGTAGAGTACTGTTACCTTGATGTGAGGACTATGGTCTATGTGAGTACTATGGTCTATGCGAGTACTATGGTCTATGTGAGTACTATGGTCTATGCGAGTACTGTGGTCTATGCTAGTACTGTGCTCTATGCGAGTACTGTGCTCTATGCGAGTACTGTTACCTTTTATGTGAGTACTATGGTCTATGTCTATGTAGAGTACTGTTACCTTTATGTGAGTACTATGGTCTATGTGAGTACTATGGTCTATGCGAGTACTATGGTCTATCCGAGTACTATGGTCTATGCGAGTACTGTGGTCTATGCGAGTACTATGGTCTATCCGAGTACTATGGTCTATGCGAGTACTGTGGTCTATGCGAGTACTATGGTCTATCCGAGTACTATGGTCTATGCGAGTACTGTGGTCTATGCGAGTACTATGGTCTATCCGAGTACTATGGTCTATGCGAGTACTGTGGTCTATGCGAGTACTATGGTCTATCCGAGTACTATGGTCTATGCGAGTACTGTGGTCTATGCGAGTACTATGGTCTATCCGAGTACTATGGTCTATGCGAGTACTGTGGTCTATGCGAGTACTATGGTCTATCCGAGTACTATGGTCTATGCGAGTACTGTGGTCTATGCGAGTACTATGGTCTATCCGAGTACTATGGTCTATGCGAGTACTGTGGTCTATGCGAGTACTATGGTCTATCCGAGTACTATGGTCTATGCGAGTACTGTGGTCTATGCGAGTACTATGGTCTATCCGAGTACTATGGTCTATGCGAGTACTGTGGTCTATGCGAGTACTGTGGTCTATGCGAGTACTATGGTCTATGCGAGTACTATGGTCTATGCGAGTACTGTGGTCTATGCGAGTACTATGGTCTATGTGAGTACTATGGTCTATGCGAGTACTGTTACCTTTAAAGTAAATGGTATATTTATGACAGACTTTCGGTCTTGATGGGAATGGCCACAAGGACAATCTACCCAGTGAAGACAGAGACAGCAATACAGACTTGGCAGGGGTTCTAGTCCTTCCCCACACTATCCAAATCTTAGAAATACCTTTTGGCCTTACATACACTTTAATGGTAGTCTGTTCCCTGTTCTCTTCCTCTGAAACACATCACAGATTGTATACAATACACACACCTTCTATCAGTGGCATCAATAGGGAAATCAGTATTATAATATTCTTTATACATTTCGCTGTAACAAACCTGTCTTTGATGATATGGTATTTTATGGTGTCATTTATGTTGTTTGTCGGGGTCCCAAAACAGTTTTTCATCAATACAATATACGGGGAATTTCCGGGCCCATCGAGAGTGACACCAACATACAGAAAAGATTTGCTTGACATCTCAACTACAGGTGCTTCATAGGGAAGAGTGTAGCTGGCATCTTGGAAAAAGTGTCATTGAGATCTTAAACTGTCCGGTACCCTCTGTGACAATGTTTATTACACTGCAAATAAATGAATATAGAGACATTATTTCTGCACAAATATCACTGATACTGAAAGTGGAATTCGGAAAAAATAAATGCATGACATACACTGAGTGGCCGGATTATTATGTAACACGGCAGCTTTTATTTTTCTGACAATAAATACTTTTCCTTGTCGCACTCCTTACGGAATGTCTCTTGTAATGGTGGGGTGCTCGCAGTGACTGCGAATGGCACCACAAATATCAGCAATTGTGTAAAGATGTCACCAGCACACCAAAATCCTTCTTAGGATATGTCCATTGCTAACATTTGCTCAATGCTAAGCCTGATGAAGGGACTGTGTGTGGCCCCGAAAAGCGCTTGCTTATACGACAAGGAACTTCAATAAAGGAACGTTTGCTTATCCTAAGAAGGATGTTGGTGTGCTGGTGACATCTCTGTCATTCTTCCATTTCCTGTTATGAAGTGACAACGCTGTTTGTTCTGCAGCGCAATCTCACAACAATGTTGTCACCCTGTGGCCAAGGTAGATGAACATGTCGTTTTAAATGGGTTTTAAGTAAAAGACAAACAAATTAAAGGCCAACTCCAGATGACAGTTGCAAAAAAAGGGATTGACTCTTTCGCTGCCACCACCAGACAGCATATGACGGCGGCACAGTCTGGTAAACACACTGCAGCTTGGACTGTGTGTTCAGCCCGCACAAGCCGACTGTTGGCTTAAAGCTTTGTGTTAGAAGTGATTCCGGTGGCTGTACATGAGCTCTGGAATCTGCTGCCCAACCCCACCCGCCATATTTGCACATGTTAGTACAGTTACCTTCCAAGTAACCCCCTATCATGATGCAACTTGTGTTCCATCGCCAGTGCTGGCCTCATCACCCGGTCTTCTTCTGGGTCCAGGGTGTGCAATTAACGAAAGGGGAGGGGCTTTTAAGAAATACTATAAACTCTCTTATTGTATAAAAATATGTAATAAATGTATTACATAATTGGAAAAAAATAAAATTAAAGCATAATTGGTCTATTCCACATGCAATATACCGTGTTTCCCCGAAAATAAGACACTGTCTTTTATTTTTTTTGCCCCCAAAAACCACACTGGGTCTTATTTTCAGGGTACGTCTTATTTTTTTTTTTTTTAATGTGCAGCAAAATGTACAACAATCTAAAGTTATCTGGTATCACTCCGCCTGTCACAGTAACCGGCGCTATAGAGGAAGTATCAACTAATGCGGCTCTGCTCCCTCCTCCGCCGCAGCCTTGCTTTCTACAGCGCCGGCTTCCTTTGCCACCAGGGACAGCGGTACCAGCGGAGCATCAGTGGGGACATTAGACAGTGGACAGCGCAGTAGAGTACGGTACCATTTACCGGTACACAGTACAGTACCGTTACATTAAGCAGCGCCTTCAGGGGGACAGCAGTTGGTGAAGTATGGTACTGGAGTGCTCCCTGTCACTGCGCTGTCTGAAGGGAGTCCTCTGTCATCCCCTTAATACAGTATGTCCCTGCAGGCTGATAACATTTCTCCTGCAAGTTACCCCCTCGCATGCTACCACCAAACTAGGTCTTATTTTCGGGGTAGGTCTTATATTACAGGAATCTTGAAAAATAGTGCTAGGTCTTACTTTCGGGGTAGGTCTTTTTTTTGGGGAAACAGGGTAGGTGTCACATCAAGTCGACAATTATTATTAAAGTAGGACATAGTAGATGACTCATTCAGGTAAAACCCGACATGTTTCGCCCTACTGGGCTTCTTCAGGGGTAATTATATATCATGGAATTATGTTTTAACCCCTTCGTGACTGACGACGTACAGTGTACGTCGCCAGCATCGGGGCTTTAATAAGGAGTTGCGCTAATATTGCGCAACATAAAAATTTTCAACTACCACCATTTTATTCTATAGGGTCTTGGCATTCAGAAAATATATAATGTTGGGGGGTTTTACGTCATTTTCAGGCCTAAAATGTGGAATATAACATGGGTGCAAAAAATGAAAAAAAGGCCTCAGTCATGAAGGGGTTAATTTTATTTATTTCCAATTATGTAATAAATTAATTTCATATTTTTATACAATAAGAGAGTTTATAGTATTTCTTAAAAGCCCCTCCCCTTTCGTTAATTGCACACCCTAAGGTGGAATTTACTCAATGTAGTTTCTTTTAATCAATTAATTTGGGGTGTGAAATCTTGCTCTCTTTGTTCTTTATTGTCCCAACACACGCCCACTAGAACTTACTTACAACTTGCTGACTGGCAGAAATGGAGCTTTAGCCGCAGAACAGACATATAGAGGTATTTTTTTTATAAAGCAGTGAATGTGACGCTCACCATACATTCGCCGCAGTTGAAACTTCCTGGTGCATATGTTTTAACTTGCAGTGATTGATTCACCTGCAGTAAAGTTTGGTGAATGTAACATTCACTGCTATATAAATATGCCTATAGAGTCTCTGCAACAAAAGCCTACTTGCTAGCAAATGTAAAAAAAAGAAAAGTCTTTAGTTTCACTTTAAGCTGGTAAAGGAAATGTTTACAAAAAGGTAAATATTAGACATGTGCATCGGCACAAAATTCGCTTTGTTTCGTTTCTTTTTTATTTAGATTTTGTGTTATTTCATTTTTCAGGATTCGGGTCCGAAAGTCAATTCGTTTCGGGATTCGGAACATGTATCATACTGGGTGCAACGTTTCGGGGTCTCGCAGGATCCCCTAACTCAGGCAGGACATCTGTCACATGTCTTGCCTGAGGAAGGGGATCCTGCGAGACCAAGACCATGCTGCATTTCCATCATTAAATAGATGCATTTGTACTGCATCTGGAGTGCCGGTGTCCATATTTCTATTTGTGCATGATAACCGTTGCCATCCGTTGATCACCGCTGCACCCACTTAATCTACACTATATTGCCAAAACTATTGGGACACCCCTCCAAATCATTGGATTCAGGTGTTGCGTGACATTTCCCGGCTACTAAATATTCCGCGGTCACCTGTTACTGGGATTATAACAAAGGGGAAGCAACTGGGAACAACAGCAACTCAGCCAGGAAGTGGTAGGCCACGTCACATGACGGAGCGGGGTCAGCGCATGCTGAAGCGCACAGTGCGCAGAAGTCGCCAACTGTCTGCAGAGTCAATAGCTACAGACCTCCAAACTTCGTGTGCCCTTCAGATTGGCACAACAACAGTGCGTAGAGAGCTTCATGGAATGGGTTTCCATGGCCGAGCAGCTGCATCCAAGCCTTACATCACCGAGTGCAATGCAAAGCGTGGGATGCCGTGGTGTAAAGCGCGCCGCCACTGGACTCTAGAGAAGTGGAGACGTGTTCTCTGGAGGGACCAATCACGCTTCTCTGTCTGGCAATCCGATGGACGTGTCTGGGTTTGGCGGTTGCCAGGAGAACGGTACTTGCCTGACTGCATTGTGCCAAGTGTAAAGTTTGGTGGAGGGGGGATTATGGTGTTGGGTTGTTTTTCAGGGGTTGGGCTTGGCCCCTTAGTTCCAGTGAAGGGAACTCTTAAGGCATCAGCATACCAAGACATTTTGGACAATTTCATGCTCCCAACTTTGTGGGAGGAGTTTGGGGACGGCCCCTTCCTGTTCCAATATGACTGCGCACTAGTGTACAGAGCAAGGTCCATAAAGACATGGATGGGGGAGTTTGGGGTGAAGGAACTTAACTGGCCGCACAGAGTCCTGACCTCAACCCCATAGAACACCATTGGGATGAATTAGAGCGGAGACTGCGAGCCTGTAAAGGCGTCCCAATACTTTTGGCAATATAGTGTATATGGAAAAAGCGGTCAGGAGTGCAGTGGGTTCATGGACTGTTGTTGCATGTTAAGGCATCACACTCATTATGACTGGGCTGCTAGCATACCACAACAGACATAAAAACACACAACATTTTTTAACAGTACACACCAATGCGCACTATCTGTATTGCAGTGCCCTGCAATGCATGTGTGCTGTCATCTACTGCGCAGTGTGTTGAGGTGCAATTCAAAATAAATGGCTCCGTATTGCACAGTATGAATGGGACCTAAACCTTTCCAGATGGGTTTTTTTAAACGATCACATAAATACAATTTTTTTAAATATACCTCCAGCATAACTTACCTCACCATGGGATTCATCGCAGTGTTCAGGCTAACTTGTATATTAAGAGGATAAGAACATTTCATTTGAACGGTCACTTCCTGTGGTATAAACAAATCATTACTGGATCCTAATAGAATGTCTATTGTGCTGATATAAGTAGCATGAGTCGTAGATTTCTGTGGGGAAAAAGAAATAAAACATGGTATAAAAAAAACAATATGCTTTGCAAGCTATTTAAACTGCAAAATACGAGCGCGAGAGCATGAGAGAGAGCAAGAGAACGAGACAGAGCGCAAGAGAGCGCGAGAGAAAGAAAGCGCGAGAGAAAGAGAGCGAGCGAGAGAGCGACAGAACGAGAGAGCGACAGAACGAGAGAGCGAACGAGAGAGAGCGAGAGAGAACAAGAGAGAGCGAGAGAGAGCACGAGAGAGAGCGAGAGAGCACGAGAGAGAGAATGAGAGAGAGAGAACGAGAGAGAGCGAGAGAGAGAGAACGAGAGAGAGCGAGAGAGAGAACGAGAGAGAGAACGAGAGAGAGCGAGAGAGAGAACGAGAGAGAGCGAGAGAGAGAACGAGAGAGAGCGAGAGAGAGAACGAGAGAGAACTCTAACTTGTATATTAAGAGGATAAGAACATTTCATTTGAACGGTCACTTCCTGTGGTATAAACAAATCATTACTGGATCCTAATAGAATGTCTATTGTGCTGATATAAGTAGCATGAGTCGTAGATTTCTGTGGGGAAAAAGAAATAAAACATGGTATAAAAAAAACAATATGCTTTGCAAGCTATTTAAACTGCAAAATACGAGCGCGAGAGCATGAGAGAGAGCAAGAGAACGAGACAGAGCGCAAGAGAGCGCGAGAGAAAGAAAGCGCGAGAGAAAGAGAGCGAGCGAGAGAGCGACAGAACGAGAGAGCGACAGAACGAGAGAGCGAACGAGAGAGAGCGAGAGAGAACAAGAGAGAGCGAGAGAGAGCACGAGAGAGAGCGAGAGAGCACGAGAGAGAGAAGGAGAGAGAGAGAACGAGAGAGAGCGAGAGAGAGAGAACGAGAGAGAGCGAGAGAGAGAGCGAGAGAGAGAACGAGAGAGAGCGAGAGAGAGAACGAGAGAGAGCGAGAGAGAGAACAAGAGAGAGCGAGAGAGAGAACGAGAGAGAGAATGAGACAGAGCGAGAGAGAGAACGAGACAGAGCGCGAGAGAAAGAGCGCGAGAGAGCGACAGAATGAGAGAGCGAACGAGAGTGAGCGAGAGACAGCACGAGAGAGAGCGAGAGACAGCACGAGAGAGAGCGAGAGAGAGAGCGAGAGAGAGAACGAGAGAGAGCGAGAGAGAGAACGAGAGCGAGCGAGAGAGAGAACGAGAGCGAGAGAGAGTAACGAGACAGAGCGCGAGAGAAAGAGCGCGAGAGAGCGACAGAATGAGAGAGCGAACGAGAGTGAGCGAGAGACAGCACGAGAGAGAGCGAGAGACAGCACGAGAGAGAGCGAGAGAGAGAGCGAGAGAGAGAACGAGAGAGAGCGAGAGAGAGAACGAGAGAGAGCGAGAGAGAGAACGAGAGCGAGAGAGAACGAGAGCGCGAGAGAGAATGAGAGAGAGAGCGCGAGAGAGCGCAAGAGAGAATGAGAGAGAGAGCGCGAGAGAGCACGAGATAGAGCGAGATAGATAGAGAGAGCATGAGCGAGAGAGCATGAGAGAGAGAGAGCGAGAGAGAGAGAGCGAGAGAGAGAGAGAGTCATAGCTTTTAATGCTGACTTTTTAGAAAACACAGGAAGGAAAGTCCCATTTTATAGATCAATATAGAGTTCAATAGCTCAAGCTGAAATTGAGCTCGCCCATAGCACTCTTAGAATGCTTTGGTGTGTACTAAATGTTCATTTGTTAAACAGATATGGACATACATAGATACATACTATTAGCTGAACTCCGCATTCCCCATCTCTAAGAGGGACTGTTACTGAGTACGTTCCGTTGACAATATCATCTTGAAGGGTATAACAGCCGATGTTTGCAGTGGTTAGCTTACTGGCATCAATATCCTGACTTTTTAGCTGACATTTTAGGAATGAGACCCTCATTTCATGTGCTCCGCAGGTCAGTATAGGGCGTATTTCTGAAATATCTTAAAACAGAAAAAAAGTTTCATTGAAATGCTGATATATTCATATACACATGTAATGGTGAGTCAGTAGATGTTTTCATGAAGCATGAACTTTGGTTTTGTTTCCATTATAGTGTAATGAACAGTGAAGTGCATTCACCTATAGAAAGGACACTAGGGGGGTAATTCACAGAGGAGCCGAAGGATCCAGCCATACCTTCGGCCGATCCTTCGGCTCTCTTCGGCTGCCGGAGACCTTTAGTTCAGTCGAACCGAAGGGCTGCTGTACGGGCTATTCACTATATGACAGCTAGGTGGAGCCAGATCAGCGTCCCCAAAATGACCTAGGGACGCTGAACTGTCATTAAATAATAACAACTGGGTGGAGTTGGCCGTGACATCACGGCCGGCTCCACCTAGTTGTTAATTATTGGCCGGCACCTGCTAGAGTCTTCTAGTGTCGGCCAATAGGAAACAGTTGGGCAGAGCTAGGTGTAACTGCTAGCTCCGCCCAATAGTTTTTTTTTGTGCTTTTTTATTTTATTATTATTTCCACTGATTTGCTGTTCTGCTTTGTACCACGGAGGTACCGAGCAGCATAGCCGAGCTGCAGTCAGAGACCTGGAATGGAACAACAGAAGAACCTCTTGTTTTGTGGAGACTTTTTCCAGTGGTAGCTATGTGCTCCTGGAGTTGAAACCCACCCTGCCACTGGCAGTCCTGATAAATTATAGGGGCCTAGAGAAGCACTTTGGGTATTCCACTTTCTCCTCTCCCCCTGCAATAACATTGTGGAAAAGCACTTAAGGACACTTATGGAAGCGTATCTGCCCGGAGACAAGATGTTCTTGGAAGGGGGTGCCAATTGCAGAGTCTCATATCTCCAGCTTCACACAAGTGCTATAAGACACAGCGGATGTAAACTGCCAGGAGCGGGTCATCTTACAAAATAGTTTAGGTGTATGCCCCCAATCATACCCACTATACTATACTATACCCACTAACCACTAAAATACTGCAGCACACGCAGGCATTGATTTTCTTCCTTGTTTTTTTTATTAATTGCATTATGATCCACATTTATACCATATATTAGACATGTGCACCAGCAAAAGATTTGTTTCGTTTAGTTTCGTTTTGATTCGGACTTTGCATTATTTCGTTTTTCGTATTCGGGTCCGAAATTAAACTCGTTTCGGACTAAATTAGTTAGCGGCAGTCCGGCCAAATTCGTTTATGGACGAATTTCGTTGCAGCAAAATGACATTTTTTTTTTTTGTTTTGTTTTTTACAGTCTGCAGAAGATGAAAAAAAAAAGGGGGAGGTTCCCCCCCAATAACGAATTTCGTCCATAAAAGAATTTCGGCCGGACTACTGCTAACGAATTTTGGGAAATCGGGAATTCGTATTCGTTTGCATTCGTCTTAGCTGGAATTCGGATGCATCTGAATTTCCGAAAATACGTCCGAAACGAATTTCGGATCTAACCGAATCGCACATGTCTACTATATATACAGCTCTCGCCTGTCCACTGCTCCTGCTTGCTGGACCCACCACTTCCTGTCCTATTCTGCCTGCCCTGACCTCTAACTGTTCACAAACTATGCTGCTGCCTGACATACTTTACTCTGAATGTCTGCTAGCTTAAAGTGTACCTATACTGTATATACTCGAGTATAAGCCGAGATTTTCAGCCCATTTTTTTGGCTGAAAAGTGCCCCCCTCGGCTTATACTCGAGTCAGCGTCTCGAGCTGGTCAGGTTTCTTCTTACTTACCTCGCCTAGCGTCGCGTCACTGCTGCTCCGGTGGGCGGCGCTCCGAGCGGGGTCATCTGGCAGTCTCCGGGTCCTAATTTAGGTGGCCGGAGACTGCCAGATGACCCCGCTCGGAGCGCCGCACACCGGAGCAGCAGCGACGCTCGGCGAGGTAAGTAAGAAGAAAAAAAAACCCCCCGCAGCGGCCAGTCAGGCAGGGGAGCAGGGATGAGTCAGCGGCGCGCTGATCAGGCGAGAGGAGCTCCAGGTGGGGTTGTAATTTAGCGGGCAGGCACCTCTAAGCCAGCTAAATTAGGACCCCACCTGGAGCTCCTCCCACTGGACCAGCGCGCCGCTGACTCGTCCCTGCTCTCTCCGTGATGTGATGATCGATCACCGGCACACGGACACAGTGAGTGAGGGCAGATTGGGGGGGGAGAGAGAGAGATTTATTAAGCAATTATATATGTATTGTCTGCACTGTATTAGCAGTATATACTACATATGGAGTATATACTGCTAATACAGTGCAGACAATACATTTACAATTATACTAACATGAATGGATTAAATGATCTGTATGTAGCCCTGTACTAGGGATCATTTAACCCATTCATGTTAGCAGAGGATCATTGTAAATGTATTGTTGCAGGCACTCTATATGTACATGTACTATATACTACATATAGAGTGCACTGAACAATAGATTTACAATTATCCTCTGCTAATATGAATGGGTTAAATGATCCGTAGTACATGATATGTAGCCCTGTACCCCCTTTTCCACTTACAGAGCTAGGTTATTTTTCTTTTAAATAAATATTAATGTAATTTTATTGGTATCTACCTACCATTAGCTGCCTCATTTCCCACCCTCGGCTTATATTCGGGTCAATACTTTTTCCCAGTTTTTTGTGGTAAAATTAGGTACCTCGGCTTATATTTGGGACGGCTTATACTCGAGTATATACGGTAATCAAAAACTAAAAACAAATCTGTATTTCTATATAGACAGGCCGGGAGCTATGGAACAAAGTGCAATAAGCGGAAGGCCTACATGACAAGGGTGGGAAAGGGAACCCGGAGAGAAAAGGGTTAAAGGGAAAAGTGAATTAGAGGAGGGATACTCACAGGATTGGTGGAGTGAGCTTTACAGGAGGAGCTTCGGAGAGTATCCGGGAAGGAGGAGTTCCAGGAGCCGGCGTGACCAGGAGAAGGAACAGGACTTCCCTCCCGCCCGACCTGGTATGGTTTTGGTGGTGTCTAAAGTTTGTCGCAGCATTATGGCGGTTTGGGGATCCTTGAAGGCAATTTTCTGGGTTGGATAATTGGATGGGGGGACCCATCGGTGGCGTGGGTGGCCTTCGGTGGTGGTAAGGTCACACGTCATGACCTGGTAAGAGGGACCGCGGTGGGTCTGCGGGCAATTGAAGTACGTCCCCGAGGTGGTGTATGGCGGCTGAGGTCATTCCGCTTTAAGAAAGGTGCCCGCAGACACTGGTCCAAGTTTGGATAGTGAGTGCCTTCAAGGACCTTGAAACCTAGCAAGCTACTGTATGGTTACTTGGTTATTGTTGTTTTTGATTGTTATTGAAAGAGTATTTATAAACGTTTTGTAATAAAAGGCTGCTGTGGCCATTTATACTCCAACCCTGGTGTAGCGTGGTAATTGAAAGGAAGTGGGTGGGGAGTCAAAGGTAAAGAGGGTTGGGGCAGTAAAAGGGGACCTCGGAGCTACCTTAGTCATGAATTTCTGTAAGTTCCACCCCACTCCTAATAACCTAATAATTGATGACCACTCAATGCAGTGACACAATTTCACTCAGCTCTGTGTGTCCTTGTGTCACCACTCTCACAGAGCCTGCTTTTTGAACCACAACTTAATTTCTGAATGATGTAACATTATCGTTGCTTCATGAAAACAATGCATTATGGGATATGTAGTCTTCGGAAATCGAGATTGCCTCAAATCAAGCAGCAGGGACAGAGACGCAAAGCACACCAGGAATCCAGGAAGTTGTTGAAAGTGATGGGCAGACAGATGGCAATGCTCATTACATAAATACTGCACATCATTGGGTATCCTTTGCCAAGTTAATTTCCACCACATTCACTAAGCTAAGGGAAAATTCCCCTGCAAAGTGAACAGCCTACTTAGTAATTCAACCCCAGAGGGTCCACAGGGCCGGCTTTACTCCCCCTGCCGCCCCAAGGCCAGGTTCCACAATACGCCCCCCCATCTGGCAACCAGATGGCAGGGCGGGGGGGCGTATTGTGGAACCTGGCCTTGGGGCGGGGCTAG